GCGGGCTCAGCCGCGAACCCGCGGCCTCGGTGTCCGCCGGGCGGGCGGGGCTCCGCGGGACGGGGGGCGTGGCTGTCTGGCCGCGGGGCGGGGCGTTGCCACGGCAGCGGGTGAGTGACGGGCGGCGGAAGCGGCGCCATGGGCGGCTCGGCCAGTCTGCTGCCGCGGGACGCGCTGGGCGAGTACCAGGTACGGCACCGGCACCGGCACCGGCACCGGGGAGAGGGGCGGCGCCGTGGGGACACGGGCGGCGGCGCGGCCCCCGGGGGCAGCTGCCCACAGGCCGAGGAATCCGGGGCTGCGTTGCCCCCGGTCAGGCCCTGGCCCCGCTGCCGGTGCTTGACCCCGGTGCTGACCCCGGTGCCCGGTGCTGACCCCGGTGCCGGTTCTTGACCCCGGTGCTGACCCCGGTGCCCGGTGCTGACTCCGGCGCTGATCTCGGTGCCCGTTACTGACCCGCACTCTTCCCGCAGGAGCTGACGTTCCTGAGCAAGCAGGAGATCCTGCTGTAAGTGCCGCCCGTGGGGCGGGATGTGGGTGCAGACCCCTGGTCCCCCACGTTCCCGGGGCCTCAGGCCCGCCCTGACGAGCGGGGTGGGGGCTGTGAGGTCACCCCGAGCCCCCTCTGAATCTCCAGCCCTGGGACGGGCAGCACCAGGCCGGCTCCTCTCCCTGGCCCTGGGAGCAGCTGTGGCACCCCCTGGGCCGGCACACACCCGCCTGGCGCTGGGAAGCGCTGCCGGTGCCCAGAGGGGCTGCTGCCATCCCACCAGCACCACAGAGCCACTCTTGTTCTTTCCTCTTCAAGTGCCTACAAGAGGTTCAGTGAACTGCTGCCAAAGGAGGAGCGGGAGAACGCCTGCTCCGCGCGGGTTCCCAAGAGCCACATCCTGACACTGCCTGAGCTGCGGGTACGGTGCCTGGCACACACAGGACGCTGCTGCTCCCGGGTGTGGGCATGTTTGGGCAGGGCCTCGGTTTATCCACCGTGACCACACCGTGCCAAGGCTCTGCCCTCAACTGTGCCAACAAACAGCTTCCTCATCCCCACTGAGCTGTTGAGGATCTCGGGGATCCTCCTCCTGCTGTGCCATGGAGGATCCCAGGGATCCCTGCAGTGCAGGGCTGCATCCCAGGAGGCACAGGACAGGCTCAGCTGTGCCTTGGGTGCCAGACTGGTGCCAGAGTGGGGCACCTGCTCAGCTGCTGGAGCAGCAGCCACAGCCGGTATGTGCTGGAGGGAGCCAGCCCAGCCCAGCCCTGCCTGAGCCGTTCCCATGTCCACAGGCAAACCCCTTCCAGCACCGGATCTGCCATGTGTTCTCCACCTCGGAGGCTGGGGACAACAGCATGTCCTTTGAAGACTTCCTTGCCATGCATCTTTGGTAAGGCTGGGGGCTGCTGCTGTCTCCTGGGGTCCCTGCACCTCAGGGAGAGGGGAGGTGGGGGATGAATTCACATTCAGGAGAGCTGCCCATGGGAATGGTGGCTTTAGGAACTCCCTGTGGGAATGGCTGTTTTGGCACAGTGATGTGCATGGAGCTGCGCAGTGCTGGTGCCTGTGACTCTCTGGGGTCTCTGTGGCCCTGCCAAAAGGTACCTTTCCTGTCCCCACAGACTTTGACAACGATGGGACTCTGGACAGGAAGGACCTGGAGCAACTGGTGAACTGCCTGACGGGGCAGGGCGAGGAGTCCTGACTGAGCAGGGTGGAGATGGAGCAGCTCATCCAAAATGTGAGTGCGGGCAGGGCATGGACACTGCACAGCCCCAGGCACAGAGCTCACCAATGCCCTTTCCCCTCAGATCCTGGAGGAGTCTGACATCGATAAGGACGGCACCATCAACCTCTCTGAGTTCCAGCACGTCGTCTCCCGCTCCCCAGACTTTGCCAGGTGCGGCGGTGCCCAGCAGCACAGCCTGTCCCGGGGTCTGTCTGAGGGTTCATTGCCTCACTTGCTGAGCTGGGGCAGAGCTCATGGTGGCAGGAGGGCAGGGCTGTCCTGTGCCAGGTCTGCCATAATGGCAGAGTGAGCTGCATCCCAAGCTGGCTCTGCAGAGCCTCTCCCACGTGGGAACATGGGTCCCTCTGGCATTGGGTGCTCGCAAACTCTTTGTGTGGCCCAGCGGGGAGGTGCAGAACCTGTTGTGTCTCTTGCAGCTCCTTCAAGATCGTCCTGTGAGCCCTGTGGCTCACCAGCACCACTCCTCCAGCACCACTCGTCCAGTTCCCCCAGCATCAATCCTCCAGTTCCTCCAGCATCCCTCCAGTTCCTCCAGTACCACTCGTCCAGTTCCTCCAGCTTCATTCCAGCAGTTTCTCCACCACTCCTCCAGTTCCTCCAGCACTCCTCTGGCTCCAGCAACTCTTTGTGGGCTCAGCCATTTCTTCTTTCAGGGAGCACAGGCCTGGCCCCTCACTGGCTCAGCAATGCCACAGTGCCTTGGGCAGGAGCCCTCCTGCTCTCCTCTCAGGTGCCTGGCAGTGGGAGGCCCTGGGAATCTGCCTCTCCTGCCACCTCTCTGCTCTCCCAGCACCGGAGTTTGACTCCGTATGCAGTCCAAGGGCAGCTCTGCAGGTGGGAGAGGCTGAGCTGCTCTTGTCTGGGGCCACTCTGTGCCAGCACAGCCCCTCTTTGCCCTCAGGACCAGTTCCCAAATCCCTAAAGACCAATGCCCAAGTTGTGCCTTCCAGCAGCAGGCAGGGAGCTGCCTCCCTCTCCAGCCTCTTCTCAGCTTCCTCAGCTTCCTGGGAGCGTCCCTGCTGCCCCATGGATCCATTTCTCTGAGCTGAGCAGTAACCTGAACATGGATCCTCTGAGCAATAACCAAATTGTGGATCATTTTTCCTGAGCAGTAAGCCAAACGGGGGACCTTTCTCTAAGCAATAACCCAGGTGTCACTGTAGAGGTGCCAACCCACAGCAGAGCTGTCCCCCCCCAGCTGCACAGGACACATTCCTTCCCCACTGGCACAGCCCACGGGTGCGCAGCAAGGCTCCCCCGTGCTGCCTCAGCACTGACCGTGCTCGGAGCCTGTTCTCCTCCTCCTCCTCCTCCTCCTCCCTTTCTCTCTCTGCCCCTGCTCTGGCTCCAGCCCAGCAGCTGCTTGGCTGCGCTGGCCTCTTCCTCCCCCAGCCCCTCTGAGGACACAAATAAAGGGCTCCGGTTTCACCCTCACTCTTTGCTGCCTTTGTCTGGCTGCGGGACGGGTGCCACGAGGGTGCCGGGACACGGGCT